CATCGAAATACCGGTTGTAAAATGTAGTTGTAGGCATCCGGTACAAAGTATTCGACTAATTGTTGTGTGACTACTGCAAGGAAACCAAAATGTTTGTATATAGGCCTACATATTAACCAACAGTTGGCCCAAAAATCGAATGCCGAAACTAGAATATTAAAATTAATTAATGTTTCATATTAAATTTAAACTGAAAGAAGAAAATTAATCATTCTCACTTATTTTTATATCTATTGAAGGGGTAAAATTCCAGGGGTAAAAATCTGGGGAGTAAAATTCAGGGGGTGAGATTTCGGGCCGTATATTTTGACCTGACCTCATGAAGGGGGTAAAAGTCCGGGGGTTAAATTCCGACCCGTACACTCTAGGTTTTTATAATTTGATGTGTTCTGGTTGAATTCACAACCGTAAAAATATACGTTTAATTCCACCTTTAGTCCACCGAACTGATGTTGTGCAACTTAAAAGTTTGCGGAATTTTACCCCCTGGTTTGTGACACCAGTTTTTCCCAGGGGGTAAAATCCCAGATGGATAAAAATCCACTACCCCAAAAAATAATCCCATTTTGATGATATTTGGTATAAGCATGTAAACCTACATTTTAAAAAAGTTTTAGAACCAGCATGATCGGACAATTGGAACGGGGTTTTATGGTGTAAAATTGGTTTTCCCATTTTTTACCCTAAATACAATTTTGCAATTTTTATCCAAATCATTTAGTATATCAAAGCCAAAAGTACCCATGAACTTTTGAGAAAACTACAAGTCACACCCCCATAAACCATATACTTAAAATGTTCGTCATGACGAGAAACCTTGCACAAAACTATCCATTATTTCAGAAATTGCCCTTTAAGGTCATAATTCCTTTCTAAAGGGAACTTTCGATATACCTAATGTTAAAATACCTCAGCTGTACTTATTTGTTTGTATTAATGTATTCTGTTTTGTTTATTTCATTGCCTCAAGATGTTTTATTATAACAATTTTTTCATTTGTGTATCCTTGGTGGATAGCGCCTTTACAGTCCGACCCACTAAAACAGTGACAATAAGTGCCTGAGGGGCTAGCCATATCTGACCTCTACCTATGTTAATATAATTAATAATGTTATTTTTTTCTTGTATTATACCTATCTGTATAGCAATGTAATGCTGATCGGTTAATACAATTGTTATAAAAAAAGCCCAACCTAACCAATCAATAATGTTATTAATACTTATGAAGTCAAACAGGCTGATATTATTATTAAATATTTTATCTTGTTACCGTTTGTGCCTAATGAAAAACATTAGGAAAAAATTTAAAATTTAAAATTTGCATGCCATTTTTATAAAGAATAAGTAAACTGTTGCAGTTTACTTGTTTATGAACATATTTTGATCAAATTTAGAACATTTATTTATTTCATACTAAACAATCAACATTTCACATAATGTAGTTAAGTCTGCCAATGGTTCAAATTGGACCCAGTAACCCCTGATCCAAAGGATTGTATCCTTGGGCTTTTAATAAAATAAATGGTTCTAGATAAAAGATACAGCAGGTATTTTAACCACACAATGCATCTCACTACATTCTACACTCATTATTAAAAATATGAATGCTCAGTTGCCTCCCCATCTCAATTAATTGTTAGACAAATATTGGCAATGGCACTTCAGCAACAGTAATTGTGACTTTGAATGATTACAAAGCATATTTACTTTTATAATGAAGTTAAAGGGATGTGTGAAGAACAGCCAGAGGGATATTTTTCAACTTGTAATTGTATGTCCTGAACCTGTAAGAAAAGTTTCTAGCCTTAGGCTAACTCTGGAATGAAATTGGAAGAGCAGAATTGAGATCAGTATAGAAGGTCAGTATAAAAGGTATCATGTTTAGTATCTGGATAGAAATAAATATTTTTGACAAGATTGGAATTTAAAAAAGGTTATCAGAGATAAGCTAAACATTTTTATATTTTATTTACAGTAGCAGAGTTTTGCAAGTATAAACACTTTTTTGATGAAAAAGTAAGAGATAGATTAGAAGGATGTTTACACTTCCCATAAATTGAAGAGGAAATCATACAACTCTAGCCTGACGGTTTGAATGAAAATGGTGAAATTAAAAAAAAATTGTTTCTATTATTGTACACTTCAATGTAAAGAGAGCGAGATATAAAATTAAAAACAAAGATAAAAAGTTTTATGTGAGAAGAGTAAGCAAAAACAACAAAGGGTTTAATTACACAAAGGGTTTAATTACCCCTGCCGCAGCAAACCTGCAGACTAAGGGAATTTCAATTTGCCTGATTGAATTTACTCTAAAATATCGTCTTGAAAACATCACTTTTATTTCCCCATTTAAATAGCAATGGCTTAACGAGTACTTAGGTTTGCTGCAACACAAACCAAATTTCATCAAAATCGGATCATTTTTGCTCGAGTTGGGAGGATGTATTAGAAGAGGTCAATTATGCTGTAACTAGCTAACTAACTGTAATATGTACCTATTCCCTGAGCTCTTTAAAAAAACATAGGCTACCTATTAGAAAAGAGATGACGTTTCAAGAATGATTTCTGATGATTTCCGAGTCACATTAAATCAAAATTTGGCTCGAAGAATGCTATAACTCCAACTTTTGTAGAACAAACAAATAAGCTACATGGTGCACAAGTTGTTATTATAAGTTTTCTATTTAGGTCTATATCAGATCTTCATATCGTACTATTCTTAGTGATCTTTATTGCTCACAGAGACCAAATTAGGATATAAACTAGAGCTCGCCCCGTGATCGAAAATTCTCCCAAAAGTATGTATTGTGCAAACTTCTCTATTTTCACCCCTTGCTGTAAATAAAACATGTGATTGGAATATTTCTTCCATTTGTTTTGATTTTCTGTTTATATTTTGTTGTCATTTTGGTCACCAGCATGGCAACCCATAAGGCCAATATTAATTTGTTTTAAATTTCAAATTTATTTTTAGGGCTTATTTTTGAGCCTATTTTAATTTATAAAGGGATTCTGCACATCTACAGGAAAATATCATTCATTTAGTACCAACCGCGTGTAATTTGGTCCAGTAGTATGGTCAGGCTAGCTGTAATAAGTTTTGCAAAAGTTTTTTAATATATAAGCTAGTCCAAATAAAAGGGAGAAATCTTTTAGTGTGAAGAAATATAAAGAAATATATTTTATTAATTTAGCCGCTTAGGGATTACACACCGCTGTAAAATATTATTTTCAATAATATAACTTACACCATATTTTTAATTTTGGCAATCTAAAAGAAAACTTATTTTAAGCTATTATTTCATAACTATATCAACAATCATTGAATGAAAATCTAAAAGGGAAAACGCATATCAATAGTTGCACATTCTATGACACACTTATTATACTACACTATATGTATAACTATAGGTACACTATAGGTGCTCTCTTGGAATAAGAAAACTAGCCACACATATGTTTTATAAATTTAATATATACTTTATTGACAAAAATAGTAAAAGATTTCAGTCAAATGCGTATGATGGATGCATGACACTCTGGTTATCTCAAAAGTTAGGAACTTGCTATTTTAAAGTTGACTGGTCACCACATACCCAAGTCCTCTGAAAATATCTGCATACATTTACATTGTCAGGAACTGCGTTTCTGCTACTTCCCAGGTATAATGGGAGACTACTTCAAGATGTATTCATTTGTAAATCGGGTTTGTGTAACTTCCGACCTAGAAAATGTCGGTTGGTGTGACGGAATAACTTTTCTGTGAAGTGGGTTGTCTCTTCTATAAAGTGATGTAACAATTGTTCTTGGATACAAATGTGTTGAAAATGTAATGAAATTGTTGTACTTGACTTAGTAAATAATCTTGTTTCCCTGTAAAGAAGTGGAGAGAATCAGTACATCAGCCATGGGCTTCTTTCTAATAGCCATAATTACGCAAAGCAATACTTTAAATTGACACTTGATTATGGTTACACTATGAACTTCTTAGTTTAATGTTTCCTTTTCTTTTTTCTTAAATATCTCCTTATAACCGATTGTGGTTGTTGTTGATCAGCTTATAGTATATTCATAACATTTTTAGTCTGCCTGTGTCTTTGAAATAAAATTTATTGAGAACGAAGAAACAAAAAACAATGCAGCATTTGCCTTCAAATATCTACAGTATACGGTACTTGTTTGACGATATCAAAATCCAAAAAGCTATTTTTTCCTAAAAAAATGAAACCAAAATAAACATGTGAATAAATTTAAGCAGCTCTATCAAGAAAACTGAACTACTCTTAAACCAAGGTGTATTGTAACGTCAAAGTGGTGTAGTGGGACAAGAACGCGTGAGAACGGCGTTTCCCACTCTGCTTTTTCTAAAAATCCTATATATTAACAGGCAACCTCTGTTTTTTTTTCAGGAAAATTGTAAGCGTTCCCAAACTATAAAATCTATGACCATACCAATGGTGTTCACTAGCTTTTGTAGACCAACAGTTAACGTAAACGTTGACATGACCATATCAACAATGGTTGAATTTCTACAAGTTTTTTGCAACCTGAAGGATGTATCTAACAACATCAAATGCAAAGACAGAAACAGAGGAATCACCAAAATCATTAGGAGGTATTTTAATCTGTTGACAATAAAATTCAATTTACATTACAAAACTAAGTATTTTCTTACCAGCTTATTTTACTTTTAAGACAAAAACTGTCAGTAAATATGAAAAATACCTTAACAATTTAAATATTTATGTATTACGTTTCAAAATTTAAAATGCTTTCTAGATTAGTTAGAAATATAAAGCAGCTCATCCCTAAAATCCATTGTGTCAAGTTTTTCATTCTCGTCCACTACTTTCTATAGAAAATATTTTCACCAACGAATCATCTTCCCATGAAGCTTTTTCTCCAGTTTTTTAACATGAAGTTAAGCTGGAGAGAGTGAGTGGGGTGGGGTGAAGACTATAAAGGAGGCTGTGTCCATTGTTGGACCACTAGTATTATTGATGGAAGCTCTGCTAGTAGCACTGCTGTTTCTGCTAGCAGCTCTGCTACTCCTGCTGGCAGTCAGGGACACCCGTAAACCACACAAGTACCCTCCAGGTAAGTTTTATCAATTTAATTGTTATTTTATACATTGAAAAATAATTTTCCACATAAAAATATTGCACTAATGTATGTACACATGTAAAAATGTAAACATTTTTTAAACAATTTTTGAAAATTGTATTGTAAAATTTTGGATTTTTATAAAAGTAAGCTGTTAAAAACTAATTTAATACATTAAAAGAACAAGCATATTGATCTTGATATCACAATATTTTTTTCAACAATATAATGAATAATAAATGACTGATGAATGTAAGACAATTGTTTTGTTATGGTTGTTTTCTAAAGAAAGACCAATTACATTTTGTTGAAAGTAAACTTTAACCTATGAAATATTCGTCCATAAGCAATTTTATATGAAATTACAATGACCATAACACCATCACATTAATATCCAACTGTTACTTTTGCATACAAATTATTCTGAATGTTGGTAGGGACCCCTTGATTGAACTATACTTAAGAATTTTTACAAAGATAGTCAATAAAACCTGTAAATAGTTATTTGTGCAACTAGTGTGCAAAGTGAGCAATTGCCTTACTCAAGAGAAATCCTTACTCAAGAGCCGTAGGCGAGTGATGGTTTCTCGAGTGAGGCGATTGCACTTTGCACTCAAATTGCACATATTATTTTACCTACAGTTACCATAAAACAAATAACTTGGTAAAGAAACGTGCCTTCATGTTGCAAATCTGGAGTGAGACAAAGTAATTAGAGTGAGACAATGTTAACATTGTCTCACTGATGAGCGAATTGGCCACTTTGCTTTCTCAAATCAGTGAGAGAACATGTACATTGTTATTGTTAGGTAGGTAGCTGTAGGAAAAATATATTTCCATAAACATGTCAGGACAGCATTATTCTCTCTTTAAATAAAATTATAAAACAGGTTTGCTGCTATAGGGAAGATTATTAAATTAGCCAAAGGAAGATGTTTCTAGAGAATTATAAAAAGCTCAGTTTAATTTGGGTACCTATTTCAAAATAAAAAAAAATCGGTCCGAGGTCTAGGTCTTACCAGCCACCTACGATACTGTAATAGCTTCTTCGCTATAGGAGAAGTTGGCTGGAAAAAAGAGATAAAAGTGATAAGATCTTGCCATTATCAACCCTGCTTCATGCCAGTTTGTAATCAATTTCATTTCACTGACTGTTTATGCTCTTAATTTTGATCAGATCCCATACAATTTTGTGTGTTTGAATATCAAGCTCTACTCATATCTAAATACAGTATGTTTTCCCTTAAAAAAAACCAAGTCAACCCTTGTAGATTCATCAGACCTCTTCAATTTCTCAAGCTTATAACACCATATATCACTCAGGCCCTGCATGGCTGCCTCTGTTTGGAAGTTTCTGGGCATTTCACTTCCTCCTCCGCCAGCTCCGTTACACTCACCTGGCCTGGGAGAGGTTGTCCTCCATGTACGGACCCCTGGTGGGCCTCCGCCTGGGCAGAGACTGCATAGTCCTGGTCTCTGGTTACCCCTTGGTCAAGGAGACGCTGCAGAGAGAGGAGTTCGAAGGTCGTCCTGATGGATTCCTTTTCAGGCTTAGGGCATTTGGGAAAAGACTCGGTAAGTTTTGGTTTTTTTATTGAAAGTAATTTATAATGTGTAAACAGCTTAATTTGTAGGGAGTTAACTACAAATTGTTATATGTTTATACAATTTTCCCTGGACTACAAACAGCTTTCTTTCTCTCAATCTGGGGTCTAGAGACCCTCTACCAGAAAGTCTTTGAGATTAAATAGTTCAAAATTAAATTTCATATTTCCTCCTAGTTTTCATATTTTACAACAACAAAAAAAATTGTTATCCAATAAACTTGGAGTTGGACTTTTCATTTTCGGAAAAAAATAAAACCACAGAAAAATACAAAAAAAAATTGCATTCAGCCAGAATAAAAATATTCTGAATAAAAAAGTATGAAAAATACTGTACGGTATATCCATAAAATTAAAAATCAATGCAGATCAATGTTTAATAAGCTACAAAGTTAACTTAAACACTATAGGAAAGTAAGAGTCACATTCATTTCAACGACTTATTATTTCAATTAAATTTGTACCATGATTGTATAGTGGCGATGTATTGAGAATAAGATTTGGAAAAGTATGTTTTCTCACATAATATAATGAAATGTGCTCAAACATTTGTTGTAGCTTATACGGCTGTAATATAATATACAAATGAGCACTAAACTACAAAATACCATAGTTTAAATGAGCTACAATTAATAATAACTTACTTATATACATGTAATGCTTCATCAAGATTATTTCTGGTGTCTATTGCAGGTATAGTTTTTACTGATGGTGAGTTGGGACAAGAACAACGAAGGTTTGTGTTGAGACATCTCAGAGAACTCGGATTAGGAAGGAGTTCTATGCAAGATCGCATCATCAATGAAACCAAACAGTTTATCACCTGTCTGAGGGAAAAATGTGAGGTGAGGATTTCAACTGCCAAATAGATTGTGTTGGAAAGTTTGGAACATTGTCATTCAAACAATCAATCAGCTGAAATACAACAATGTGCAATCAAGCTTTTATCACCTGTTGGATTAAAGAGAGTGATGGCATGTTCCTCATCCGAAAGGATTATTGTACAGTACTTGAAATGCCTGAATATTATAGTGTTGTTCAAAATCTTAGACCAAAAAGTTTACATGGTTTGTCATTTAACAATTTTAAAGGGAATATCTAAGCAATTTTTGAACCTGGGTAACTTAACTAAGTGGATATGTTGCTTGCTTTCTCACACAATAATTTCAGAGAATGTTTTTGAAGGTTTGAAACTAATCAGATCATTCATTATTTGGTATACGGACCAAAACTAGAAAGGTAGGTATTATAGTCACTTCACACTCATCGTCTTTTTAGATTCAATCATGTCATGAGTTTACAGTGTGTCAGTTTAAGTATAATAAAAAAATCATAAAATGACTTTTATTTTGAAAGGTATTTATTTGTCCTTAAAGGCTAGATTTTCCAACTGCAACCTTTATATCAGAACTATATACGTCTCCTCACATAGCTAAGCAATTGTTACACGGTGTATGAAAAAGGTATCCTTATTACTTTTCCTACAGTCACCCGACAAAGTTGGCTTCCATGTACTGTTTATAGTACAGAAAGCTGCTAATTGCTGCATATTTATACTTTGCCGTACGGTTTATACTTTGCCGTACGGTTTATACTTTGCCGCACATCAGGATTCCAACGAAACAACACAAAACAGCGTAGTTCCATTATGCACGTAATCCGTGTACGCTTGGAAATAGGTTGGCAACACTTAAAGATAATTATACTATGAGCAGCTGATTGACTATTATAACTACGATTTAACCTGTCATTTCGTGTTTATAGTTTCGGTATTTGTGAACTTTCTGGTCTTTTCTTTTAAACGTTTTTAAAACCTTCCTACGATCTTAATAAACAATAAAATACCTTTTAAGCATTTTTTTTAGGCGCGGAAACCACTTCAAATTACAAAAACATACGGAACTATATTCTCAAAACGCGGAGCACATTTCTTGCCGAGGAAAAATAGCGGAGTGATATGGACCGCGGGTACTACTTTCTCTAGCGCACCATTTGTGTTGCCAGCTGAACCTAAAAACGTGTTGCATAGTGTTTGAAAGACTAATTATTTATATGCTTTATAGTGACTGTAGGAAAAATATAATGTGTAACACGAGTGAAAAAGGCCTTTGCTGCACTCGAGATCATTCCACACTCGCCTGCGGCTCGTGCGTAAACATTGCTCTCGTGTGCAGCAAAGTGCCACTTTCACCACTAGTTAAACAAATAACTATTTATTCACAGTTTTAACTATAATTCATTCACAATATTTAGGTGGTTTTAAGGGAAGAAATATATTCCCTCAATTGCCTTAGCTTTAAAATAATAGCTCAACAGCTGACTAAGCAAAATACCCTTAAATACAAAAAAGTGGTGGGGGAACTTCCCCTCAAACCGCCTAAATATTGTGAAAAAAGTATACCAAACTTTTGAGTACGCTATTATTATTTAGCAATACAGTAAAATATAGAACAGTTTTTTCATTCCAAGATCACTGTTTCTTTAAACTATGACAGAGTTATCATCCCGAAATGTATATATAGTCGATGTACATGAAGAGGAATTACATGTACCATAATTTTACAATTCAACAATTCTTGAGAGTAAAAAATGAATAAAATATATTTGACCAGGATGGACCAGTGAATGTCCGACATGTGGTAAACGTCTGTATCCTCAACAACCTCTGGGGTATGCTAGCAGGGAAGAGGTTCTGCTTCAATGATAAAAGACTGTCACAACTGCTCAACTACATCCATCAGAGCTTTAGTCTTCAGGATATGTCGGGAGGTCTTCTCAACCAGATGCCCTTCATCCGATACATTGCGCCTGAACGCTCCACTTACAACAAAAACTTGGAGATTTTGAGCAACACCTATTCTTTTCTTACGGTTAGTCTTGCCAGATTGAACTTATTCCCTTATATACATTGATTAATAATTGGTATTTTGTACTGCCTGAAGGTACCTTTTTGTCCTAAGCAACTTTTGTGTTCTGGTGTACTTATATAAAACTCTTTTTAAATCCACAAAAGGTTATCATTGTATTTCTTTAAGGATCCTAATTCAATGGCAGAATATCTGTCTTGGAAGGAATGAAATTTTTTTAGTTAAATGTACAATTATTATTTTATGTTTAAATTCCCCCTTTCACCGTAGCTAGAGATTTAAAGGTACTTAAAATATTATGTATACTATTTAATTTTGTAATAAATTACTTTATTTTTAACAGGAAATGATAGAAGAACACAAGAAGACACTGAATCCAAACCATACTCGAGATTTTATTGATGCATTCTTGATTGAGATTAAGAAGAATGAAAACAACAAGGACTCAACTTTTACAGGTGATTTTTTGTCTCAAAATCAATCAGTTCAGCAACCATCAGATTTGAAGGTGAGCACTACCACAAAGCTACTCATCCATGTAGTGGTTGCATAATTGATGATTTATATCGTGTAATTCTAATAATTACATTTGATGATACCAGAGTAGAGTTTCCTACCATAAAATCATCACAGAACAAGCAACTACTGCCTTTAACACATTTATTTATGACCTCTTGCGCTTATCCTTATTGTGTGTATTGAGCAGAAAAGTAAACAAATTTTGGATTTTGAGACTTAATAGAGGTAACTATACAATCTTTCAATCACAATTACTCTTGTTGACACAGAAGAGCAGCTGCTGGTGCTACTCATGGATTTGTTCATGGCTGGGTCTGACTCCACCAGCAACACTCTCAGCTTCACAATCCTCTATCTGCTCCACTTCCCCCGGATACACGACCGAGTGTTGGCGGAGATAGAAGAGGTTGTAGGCAACTGCAGGCCACCCTCACTGCAGGACAAGCCTAAGTACGCACTTGCAAGTCTTAGCATAAGCTTATGTTGGTCTTGAAAAAGAAACAAACAGTGACATTGCAGTGATTACGTAGTTTCTGCATAATACTTCTTTATTAAGGGACAAAAGAACATTCGTATATGTAACCTTCTGGTATTTTTTTAGGGTCTGAGTATTGGGGGGAAAATGGTAACAGTGATTGGTTTAAATAAATAATTGGCTTTTTCACTGAGCGATTTTCAGATCACAACTGAAAGCAATGCATAAAGACAAACTGTAGTAGAGACTTAATAGTTACAATTAAAACAGTAGTTTGAATAAAGTTTGATAAATCTACAAGTTCAGTTATTAAATAATTTTAAATTAAACCCACTCAGCTTCAGGTAGATCATTTGCAAATAGTCAATATTTAAACCTCTTAGAGTTTTATCTTGAGATTATTTTACAGGCTTGTAAACCAGGTCCCAATTGGCAGTTTCTGTCCAACAGACTTAACTCTAAACCCCAACAATCACTTTCAACCAGGAAAATGATGATATACTTACATATGACAAGATTGCTTTCTTAAAATGGTCTTAACCTCTAGTAAAGACTAAGTTGTTGCATAGATTAACCAACACAAGTAGACTACTCATCCCATTGTACATTTTGAAGCTCGTTTCATTTTTCGTGTCTAGTTCATGACCGGTGACACTGATCGCTAGTGCAGATGAAATTTGGTTCCTATCATTTTAGGTTAATTTACAAAGGTCAGGAATCTTTGCTCCCCCTTGACTACATGTTGTTTTCTTAAGAGCTTCATCTAGTGCTATGTCGAATAGTAGCGGTGATAAAACATCACTTTGCCTCACTCTAATTAAAAAAGCACAAGCCTTTGTAATATTTGACTGTACATGCAGTATGCCGTACACAGAAGCACTGATCATGGAGGTACTCAGGTTTACAAACATCGCAACTGTTACCGTCCCACACAGAGCCAAGCAGCAAGTGCTACTTGATTCTTACATCATACCCAAGGTAAAGTTTCAATGTATGAGTAATCAATGTCAACAATTTAAGCTGATAAATACTAAATACTACCAGTGTTTAAGCCCCAAATTATGAGGTATTTGCACCAAAACCTACCCTCTCTGGGGGGGTCTATGTGATGACCTCGGCCATCCTTTAAAACCCTTCTCTTGACTCTCCACATGGACAATTGTGCTGTAACCATAGGTGAATGGATTAACTGTAGTCAAGTACTACTCTCTGCTCTGGTTAAACATTTATTGAAAAGCGAGCGACTTGTTGTCTGCTTGGTTTGGTTGCACCTGTCAAATCAGGAACTTGACAAGAGGAAAATAAGTTGACAGTATTTAAAACAACTGATAATATTTCAAATGACTCTAAAGACACAGGTTTTAACCCACAATATAACTGTTGTCAAAAGCCAATCAAATAACCCTCATAGCTAACATGTTTGGAATGATTGGTTTGAAATGAATTTGACAGCTATCCAATCATGGCCAACATATAACAACACGATAAACAGGGAAAACAGTGGCATGCTTTTTAAACACAGAGTGGTGACTCCAGTTATAATCCATTCATCTCTATGGCTGTAGCATGGAAATAAAAAATGTGGGCCTAGAGCATAATTATTGTTTCAACTTTTTCCTGAAAGTTGCTTGAAACTTAAATCAAATTCTCCAGAGCAGCCTTTTCTAAACTAAGCGTCTCAAACAACTTGAGGGTCGTTGGGGCAATTTGTGTGGGTCACACGAAGGGAGCAAACATTGGATATTTTTTTAGCTGCACTCGAAAATCAGATAATTATTTAGTACCCAGTGCTCTCCAAATGGGTGTGAAGTCTACTTAGCTCTTGATCATTCTCTTTGGTTAAATATAGTAAATTGTGTATCCGTTTAGAGAAAAAGCTTGAAACTCCATCCTAATAAGAGGTTTATCTGTGTGCATATTTAAACCATAGCATTTGTGACTTAGCACTAATATAACATAGTAAAATATCCTTTTGCACAGGAATGATAAAACAAAGAAACCTTTTATGTAATTTTTATAAGATCCATACTTTTTGAAAACCAACCATGGGTAGCGGAAAGAATTTGGATGGGTCTCTGTGAGATATTAAACACGGAACATTTGAAAATGTGTTCTTTTTTGAACATTTTTGAACTTTCAGGAGGTGTGTACCTGATTAGTAGCAAAAAATGGACATTTCAAACACCTGAATAATATGAATCCATTTTTTCGTTGGGATAAAAATAATATTCAGGTTTTTCGGGACAGGAATTTTGCATTATTAATAATGTCAGCCAAGTTTGTATAGCGTAATATCTAAGTAAAATTATGACTCATACTACACTTGTTTCAGGATGTGACCCTGCTGGTGAGCCTGTACAGTGTCCACATGGACCCAGACCACTGGGGAGATCCTCACAACTTCAGACCTGAAAGGTTCTTGGATGCAGAAGGCAATGTCAAGCCTGACGACTGGCTCATACCCTTTGGTCTTGGTACGTAGGTCCTTCCAGACTATTTGGATACCCAAAGAATTTGTTCTTGAGCTTCAATTCTGGACCTAAACATATTGGTTTCTTTTAACACCCTGCGTTTACAAGTGTTGACATATGTGTCAGCACCTCTAAAACATTGAATGTAACAATTGTGTTTTAACATTCTTGAAAATTTGAACTTATCGTGAAATTTTACTATGATTAAAAGGTTTTGTAGTCAGGTGTTCTTTTCCGGACACCCATCTTTAAGGCTTGCTGAACATCAATGTTTTTTAATGTGTGATATGACACAGTGGATTCAAAACACATTACATTATATAAAGTAATATTACCTATTAAAAAAATGTTTACAAAGTTAAGTCCTTGCAGCTTGGGATGTTTTGAAGAAGTAGTTAGACTGAACATGCAAACCAAAAGTTTGGATGGATGTTTGAGCCTTTTGCCCTTTTTAACCTCCTTCATAAAACTTTCCCCAACGGTGTAGGTGTTTGCATATTCCCTCTTATTATAATAAAGCTCACTACCTGATATAGTGTTTGTTTTTAGGCAGAAGACGGTGTCTAGGAGAGACCCTGGCTCGTCCAATGCTGTTCCTGTTCCTTACCTCACTTCTGTTCCATTTCCGAGTATCACTACCGCCCGGCGCAGCATTGCCATCATATGCGCCAGTAGATGGTGCCATTCTGGCGCCACCACCATTCTCCTGTGTTCTTACACCTAGGTTTTAGTTGTATACTTCTTAGTTTGAAAACCAAAGACTATTGTTCTGTATGTTTTAAAATAACGTTATCCAAAATGAATGAATGTGGATGGTAAAGTGTGGGGATACAATATGATTCTTTTTTCTGTTTTTAATTTTATCGGTTGGATAGAACTGCTGATAGAAACATGTTCTTAAAATTATTTTATTAAAATTACTAATAGGTGGAACTGAATGGGATGGAGTGAGAAATCATTCTCTATATAGCCTAAGATTAAAACATACTTCCTTGTAGATTTGTTTGTACCCTTAAGGGCTGTTTTGTATTTTATTTATTTGGAGCCATTGTTACTAATTGCAACCAAATAGAACAACCTATTTGTAAACTACTGCTTTAACAATTAAATCCATAAGTGTTAAGTAAAGTGATCTTTGTGTTTTAGTATTATTTTAAATGTCCTTTTTCCAAACAGTCCATCTGTAACTCACATCATATGACCAATTGTAAATATCCGTTGCTGCATTCATTCATCACGAATCACCTCTCATAAAAACACATATTCATTTTTTCTTGTAAAATTTACCTATTTTTATTTAATCAAAACACTAGATTTTTTTCTCTTTTTTATTTAACTAAACTGCACAACAAGAGCTTTCAAACATAAAATTCACATAAACAGGTTTCAGTTTAAAAATAATAAGATGAGAAAGCTATTTTCATGTACCTAAAGTCTGTAGACTGGGGTAATACAACAATCACTAATAAGTCAATAAATAACCTTACGCTATAGATACACTACTGTACTGCATTCTATACAGTGGAACCTCGATAATAAGTCATCCTTTATAAATAGTGTCATTTTTATATCACCTCGAATTTATTCAACCACTAATCACATGTTATTGCAAACTTCGATAAGAAGTCAACCTTGATAACAAGTCTTATTTATAAATGCCCATTGCTGAATTTTTATTTCAGGATTAGTGTTGCCTACAGTATTATCATTTACTATGAATCCTTACCCAGACAGCACACTTTCTCCTCAGGACATCCCACGGATATTGCGACAGGATATGCAAGATATCCCATAGTGGTCCTATGGTCAACCTGGGATATCGCAGGATATCCACAGGAATGCGTAATGTCCCCGCCCGGGGATGTCCTACGGATAAGCTCACACGCATATCCGTGGGACATCCGAGGTCATCCCAGGGTAGTCCTCAGGACATTCTCAGGACATATGGGACTACTATGGGATGTCCCTGGGATAAATGTGGTCTGGGCCTGAACATAAAAAACACAAAATAATATAGATTTAGTATGAAAAGCTTAATTATAAGTTTAGTAAATTGATTAAATAGTTAATAAACACAAATTTTGAAGAAAAAAACGAGAAAAAAGTTTTTGGCCCAGATGGGTCTTGAACCTGGTATCGCCTTATGAGCCTCTTACCTTACCTCCTGAGCTATCTGCGCTTGATGATTTTGGGTGTTTTCAAGTGGTGAAAGAGTAGCCGACAGTTGCAATGGTCGCAATACTTAAAATATTTTTTATACTACAGTATATAATATGATTCTGTTAATCTGTTTAGGCCTCAAGTAGTTGAATTGTTTTTCTGGTAGTTGGAGAGGATACTGGTATTTGAATATAGATTATTTAATTACCATTAGGTTAGCACTGTTATAATTGATTGTTATATGATTAAAATTAGTTTTTGGTTGTTTTATTAATTTAAAGTTAGAATTCAATTCACATTTCACACAACTATGATAGAACTCTAGTTTTTCTGAACTCAGTGGTAGTAATATGTCAGTAAAGTTAAGTCAGCCCTTGCTAGCCACAGTATTAACAAGACATATTTTCAATCTGGGAAACCTTAAACTTTTAAAACAAATTATTATTATTATTATTATTATTATTATTATTATTATTATTATTATTATTTGTTGTCATGAGAGCCGAAGCCCCCTGACTGCTTACCCGGTACCTATCCTTCAGGACATACCCGGGCCCCATGATGTAGGCCGAAGCTTACGCATCAACCTTTAGCACATCATGGGCGGATGACTTAAGGTCATCAGGCTCGCCGGCTGCCGAAGCAGACCCTTCGGAAAGAGGGTTGCCCCTCAATCCTAACCAGGGATTCCGGCTGCTTGTTTAAGCGTCACTCCACCTGGGTTCCACTAGGTCGGAACCTAGAGGTCCATAGTAGAGCGCCCCGACGCATTTAGTGCAAGCAACACTCGGGACCTATCTCATCCCTGACAGGCAGAACCCGCCATCAATAGCCAGGAGGAAGGGGACCATCAGCACGCTGACGGGGGGAACCCCAACCTCCCATTTACACCGCTGCCCGATCGAGGCCTTACCCATTGCTGGGAAACCAGAGATAACCAGAGCGATAGATCCCCAGATACCCCTGGCGGGCTCGGACCCAGCACCCGATCTACTTCGTTTGCCCGTCAGACCCAACATCACTGCCAGGCCATCAGGGTTTCCCAAAAGGAGGCAGGTATAGAAGTGGGACCCACCCGGATGAACCTATCCACCAGAGGTGGCGACACCCTTGACTCAATTGAGGTTCCGGGAAGAACCCCCCACACTCAAGATAACCATACCGTCCGTGCTCAGAGACAGGGATAGGTTTGCATAAGTACCTACAAACCGTTGCCCTCACACTGCGGAAAGTTACGTTGCCCTTGAGTGTCCCCGTGAGCTGCGGGTACTTGCCCGTTTTCACCTCCAGGAAAGGTTACTTCCAAAGTCGAGGATTTGCCCACTGAATGCTGGTCGCACACAACAAGCAGGCCGAAGCCCAAAGAACCACAGACACAGGTAGGTTAGAGATTATGATGTACTTCCATCTCTCCTAGAGCTAAACACCCCTCCATCCTGGATAAAGGAATGTCACTGGGACCCGATGCCCAGTCGACCAGCATGTCTGTGGCCAACTTGAAAATGCCGATACCAACACGGAGCATTTACCTCCCCTCTGGGGGCTAGGTATTTCACCTCCCAGGACGAGGCTACTTCCAAAGTCGAGGATATGCCTCACAAAATGTCAGTCGAACACAACAGGTAGGACTCAGTCACAACCACAGTTACAGGAAGATGAGGAGAGGCGAAATTAACGGCGTCACTGAGAGCTAAACACCCCCCCCCCACCCTGAATGGAGGGAATGTCACTGGAGGCTCCCCCTAAGGGGCTGGCGCTTACCAGTCGTCCATAACTGTGGTCTACCTGAAGTGCCGGGTCTGACACCGGGCAGTTACCTCCCCTCTGGGAGAGCTAGGGTCCGCGTGGTCGCCCAGGCCACGAATCCACGCAAGCGTGAGCCCCCTGCGGTTACTTTAAAACAAATTATAAAACCTCAACATCTTAATGCGTGGTAATCTTATTTTTAGAAAAAAAAACAGACCAAAATTATTTGTTAAATAATGAAGACGGCCGAATTATAAATTCGGAATTACTGAAAATAATTACATCAAGAAACACACTGTAATATATCCAAAATTCAAAAGATTAATTTTTCTAATATTATTTTTTATTTTTCCAATATCCTTTAAATCATCTGTTTTAACTTTGTTTGAAATTAATTTATTAAGTAAATATTTACTTTTTGTACTACTGTAAACACAGCCTGAAGATGGAAACCAAGTTTCTGAAAGTGCTAGTGAAAAAAACAAATTATTATATATTGGCCTTGTTGAACATTTAAATTTAGATATACATTTCATCAGTGGTAGTATTTTTTTTCTTCAGTTTGTTACCGGGACATTACGGGACATTACAGGATATCCAGTGGATTTTGTACATGTCCCGGGATGTCATGGGACATTCTGGGATATCCTATGGCATTCGTACATATCCCGGGACTTTACAGGATATCCTGAGGTTAACTTACAAATCCCGGGACATTACGGTATATTGTAGGATATCCTGTGGATTTCGTACTCGTCCCGGGATTTTGCGGGATATCCTGAGGATAGCGTACATATCCCGAGACATTCTCAGGACATATGGGACTACTATGGGATGTCCCTGGGATAAAGTGTGCTGTCTGGGTAAGGATTCATAGTCAATGGTATTATTTTGAGGCTTCTGATTGGCTGAGGGAACATCTTTACCGCAACGATACAGATCATTACAACGGCCTCGGTGGTGCAGTGGATAGAGTGTTGCGACTTATAATCCGAAGGTCCTGGGTTCGAATCCCACCCGTAGCACTATTATTTTATTGGATTTTTTTCATTATCAACAAGATTGGTTGGTTTGGTTAGGTTATGACGGTTTAATTTTAAAATTAAAACATTATGAAATTGAATTTGACCCATTAATAGTTTTATTTTATGAACAGAAATATTTTTTTCGGTTAAACCTTCATTTGACTTTTCATTGTTAGCAAGTCTGGTTAGTTTGGTTAGGTTATGATAGTTAAATTTTATGATAAAAAAATTATAAAATAGGATTTGAGGCATTTATAATTTTATTTTATGAACAGAACTATTTTTTCGATTAATAAACCTTCATTAGATTTTTTCATTGTCAGCACGTTTGGTTGGTTTGGTTAGGTTATGACGGTTTAATTTCATAATAAAAAAATATAAAATTGAATTTGAGGCATTTATAATTTTATTTTATGATCAAAAATAATTTTTCAATTACTAAACCTTCGTTATAGTCAATCAGAAGCCTCTAAATGACACTGTTGGCAAAATTAATCCTGAAAAACAAATTGTGCATCCCCATTAGAGTCTTGTTATCGAGGTTCTACTGTATTACTCTACTGCAATGTATATATTCCCTTACCGATTGAAACTTGTGGAAGCAAGTTTTAAGTTATAAAAGAATATAGTTGCATTAATCCATCGACAATGTGTTCTGCTTTGAAATGCGTTTTATTACGCCAACTTTTTAAAATTATAAATAGTTGAACATTTTTATTATCTCTTTATAAATATGAGTTTTTAAAAGGACGTTTTGATTTGAGTATGCACATTTTATAACAGATTAGACAACATTATCT